TTGAATATCCCTCTCTTGGAGGGTGGGCTGGACTTAGTGACTTGCTTCCTAAAAACACAGTAGAGAAAGGAAAAAAATCTCGACTATAAAGGGTTTAAAGTGGATAAACTTGACAAATACTACATTTACCAAATGTTGAAAGCTAATATCATGAGATATCATGTGGATAACATGATTTGTGTGATGTGATGAAAAGGGCACTTCCCCTCTGAGGTACTTTCCAAAACATATAACCTTCATCTAAACATGAGAAAAACATCAGACAAACCAGATACAGGGACAGTCTACAGGATATCTAGCCAGCATTCCTCAAGACTATCAAGGTGATGAAAAACAAGGAAAAACTGAGAAACGGTCAGAGGAGGGAGAGTAGGGAGACAACTAAATTACACATAGTACCCTGGTGTGCAGAGATTAACATAGCAAGCCTGAACTTCTATCTTTAGAATGGCTTACTTGGCTGACAACTAGGAACTTAAAGTTTTTTTTTTCTGTCTTTTTGTTGTTCTTTTTATATACACATGGCAGTAGTGCATATTTTGACATATTATACATACAYGGAATATAACATTTTKAGAAGGTTTCAACCATTCCCAGACAAAAATGGCTCACTGTGYCTAAACTGTTTGCATAAACAATGGGGATTGTATTGAATACCCACCTTCCTTCATCCTGAGAATCTGGAAATTTTGGCATGTTAGGTAGGTGCCTTCATGACTAGTACACAGTAAAAACCCCATTGATTCTGTAATGAGTTTACCCCATAGACAACATTTTACGTGTTGTCACAACTTGTTGCTGGGTGGAGTAAGCAAGCACATCTTGTGTGACGGTAATAGGGGAGGACTCCTAGAAGATTTGTTTATATCCTCCAGACTTTATCCATCTACACTTTCCCTTTGATGATTTTTGCTTCATATCTTTTCATTATAATTTATAGCCATGAATACACCTATATGCTGAATTGTGTAGTAAATCACTAAATCTAAGCAAGTGGGCTTAAGAATCCTTGACTGCTCTGCATTGAATCATGGGGTAAAAAAGAGGACATTAACATAAATGCTAATCAAATCCACTAATAGTATGAACCAATGTTGGTATATTAGTTTTGGGAAATGTATCATGAGAAAAATGTATCATCAATGAGAAAAACTGGATGAGGGTTGAATAAGAACTTTGTACTATATTTACAACTTTTTTGTAAATCTAATTGTTCCAAAATAAGAATTCATTAAGAAAATACTGGTAAAACCAAATGCTTTGGAAATTCACGAAAAATCATATACCACTCATTGAGAGAGTATTGGGAAGAACTTTATTTACTATAACCAAAAGTTGTAGTTAAAAATAAAATAGGTTTTTTTTTTTTTTTTGTGGTACTAGGGATTGATCCCAGGGCCTTGTGCATGCAAGGCAAGCACTCTACCAACTAAGGCTATATACCCAGCCCAAATTACTTCAACTTTTAAATCAACAAGTTAAAATCACTTTATAGGACTGGAGAGGTAGCTTAGTGTCAGAACACTTGTAAATATAGTGCAAAGTTCTGATACATTTTCCACATGATACATTTCCCAAAACTAAGATACCAACATTGGTTCATACTATTAGTGGATTTTATTAGCATTTATGTTAATGTCCTCTTTTTTTCCCATAATTCAATCCAGAGTGGTCAAGGATTCCTAAGCCCACTTGCTTAAATTTAGTGATTTATTACAGAATTCAGCATATAATTATATTCATGGCTATAAATTATAATAAAAGGATACAAAGGAAAATCATCAAAGGGGCCTGATTGTGAGAACAACAGAACTTAAAAGATTTAAATTAGTCAGTTAAAATAATGAAAACAATTCATTATTGTTTTGAAAAGGTTGAATTCATGACCCACAGTATATCTCCTATACTAAAGTCAGGCTCTGATAGGAAAGAAATGAGACCTTAAAATTAAAGTTGGGGATATCTGGACAGATACACTTGAGAACTTTGTACTGAAAGATTCATCTTTATGCTATGCTCTGGACCAAAAAAAGTGATCTACTCCCCTTAGCTAGAGGGCAGTGGTCTTGCTTTGCCTGAATACCATGCGGAAATTTCACTTGCGGAAGGTCTATCTCATGAGGCTTCTTCTTCTAAAGATTTGCCACAACCCTCTGTAGTGTTTCTCAGGTTTTATCATGCCTTTCTGGAGGAAGCACTGTCCCTGTTTTGGGAAAAAAAAAAGGGTCATACACCAAATGTGTACTGGCGGAATGAGAAGACTATATCTGGAGATGGATCTTGGAGCTTGTTTGGGAAAAGTGGCCTGATGTAAAGATACAATTTTGTTGAGCATAAACCCAAATGAGTAAGAAATCCTAAAGAGACAGAATTCAATGGAAATTGGTAAGATTATTTTTTTTTTTTAAGATTATTTTTTGTCTTCAGGGAGATGGGAAAAGAACTTGTATTAAGAAAAATAAGAGTTATATTTCTTTGCATACCATAATTTGTGGGCTGCTGCTGACATATCTTTTAATTGCCCAATTACTTCATTAGGTGAAGTAACAATCTTGTTTTTAATTCTGGGTTGCTCCTAGTGACTATTTAAAACTTAGATATTGAAAAAACTCACCAAAGCACTGAGTATATACACAGAAATGTAAATACAGGTACTTGAGTATGCTCACCATTAAAAAGGAAGAACTAAGAAACTGTAAAATACCAATGCTGTCCAAAGGCTAACCCTCCATTCTCGGCTCTTAAAACAAGCTCCTCTGAAATATCCTTTCTTATGTCTTTTAAGTGCTGCAATAGTTTTCTAAACTGTTCGCATCTTCTTATTCACAATGTGTCATGCGTAATGATATCAGATTAGTCTGAAATCACTTATACTATTCTGCTGATAAATATCTTTAAATAATTATCTAATGATTTATGTGGTAAAAATAAAATTTTCTAGTTTGATCTTTTAGGCTTTCAATCTGCCTCCTGTTTTCTCTAACTAGCCTTGTTTTCCATTTCAACTTGGAGCCTTAAACCTAGATAAATCCATCTAGAAAGTCTCCAAATATATCTTGAATATCCTAGGTTCAATGATTTTGGAAAATCAGCCACTTCACTTGGAAATCTTTCTCATTTATGCACCTAACTTTGTAGTAAGAATGTACCCCTGTTTTATGAATTATTCTGTGTAATGGTTCTCTCTTCTATAATGACAACTCTTCAATATATATTATAGGTAGTTTTTTTTTTTTGGTGTGTGTGTGTGTGTGTGTGTGTGTGTATTTTGCTGGGGATTTAACACAGCTAAGCAAGTGTTCTACCACTAAGCTACCTCTCCAGTCCTATAAAGTGGTTTTAACTCGTTGATTTAAAAGTTGAAGTAATTTGGGCTGGGGATACAGCTCAGTTGGTAGAGCGCTTGCCTTGCATGCATAAGGCCCTAGATTCAATCCCTAGAATCGCTTAAAAAAAAAAAA